CGCACAGCCATATAAAGAAACGTGTTCCCTTCCCCCACTCAGAGCAAAGTGACAGGTTCTCTTCATTGGGGGACCCACTAACACTCACTTCTGACAGGCTTTCCTCTACTCTATGGGTGGATAACTCCGGTCCTCCAGCTGTTGTGGAACTACAAGTCCCATGAGGCAGTGCAAAGACTCAGACAGCCACAGGCGTGATTCCCAAAGGCATGCTGGGATTTGTAGTTAAAGCACAGCTGTAGGGCCGGAGTTGCCCGCCCCCTGCTATAAAGATGTTTGAAGGTTAAGTGACTGTCTAATGTTGGCCCTTGAACACGGGGAGGCAACCTCGGCACTCCAGCTGTGGTGGAACTACAAATCCCATGAGGCATTAGAAGGCTGACAGTTACAGGCCTGACTCCCAGGCGCAGAGGCATGCTGGGAATTGTAGTTAAAGCACAGCTGGAAGGCTGGAGTTGCCTTCCCCTGCTCTACTCCGAAGATTTTGGGGTGATCTGCTTCTTCCAGGTATGGGGGAGTGAGTGGGTGACCTTCTTCCTAGGATAAAGTGTTTGGGTGTGAGCGGCCAATCACTGGGACCAAAAACACTGTCACAAGGGGGGGGGGTGAGGCATTGAAGTCTGTGTAAGCTCTGACACCGACAACCGCAGAGCTTACACAGGGATTGGGTTCCCATAGACATAAATAGCAGTGGGTGGTTGGGGGGGGTGGCCTATCAAGTGAACCTGTCACCTAGCAAAGTGACATATTAACTTTAATGGCTGAACTCCAGGAATTTAAAAAGCTACCCATGCACCCCCCTCAAGGGGGTGCATGGTACCTTTTTTCTGCCATACACGACGCGCGGCTTTTTTTAGCACGGGCGGAATCGGGACGGGAAACCGCGTGATTCACCCGGCGTGACTGGGGTGCCATTAGAAAATAATGGCGCCCACAGCGCGATCGGTGCACACCTATTCGACTCCTGCCCGCGCGGCAATCCGCCCCGGAATCGTGCACGGTTGCCGCGCAGTGGGGTGTCGCATAGGTGTGCACCGGCCCTGAGAAGAGTAGTGAGGCAGGGAGCTGTGATGCTTTCAGGAAGAAGTGCTGGCCCATCCCACCAGCCGTGATCTACCTGATAAGGTATGTAATGACAATAGAAAGATTCTGTTTAAATAACAAATAAGGGGGCGGGGCCAATGACAAGGTGAAATATAAGCAGATTGCACATCAGCTTTAGGAACGGTTTCCTCATCGCTCCGGTATAACCGGCTGCAGTGAAATGTTTTTCTTATTATTATTTCCTGCACTGGAGCACAACATTCACCGCTGTCAGCGGGCTAGAACTTGCCTGAAAACATGGCCCTCCCCTCCTCATCCTAATATAAAAGTCACATCCTTTCCGTCTGACTTCAGGGCGACACCTGTCTGAATCCGCAACTTCCAGGAACGTCAGACGGAGGGGAAAAGATGATTCATTACTGGGGGCCATACGCAGGGCAGCCGGTGCGCATGGGGAGCTGCAACAGGCACAAGTGCCCGGGTAATCCATGCAGACACATCATCTGTACTGTGCCGCACTTGTCTGGTTCTGTGACCGAAGCATCAAAGAGAGCAAAACGATGAAATCACCACCCAGACTGCATGCCACCCGTACACTGCACACTGCATGCCACCCGTACACTGCACACTGCATGCCACCCGTACACGGCACACTGCATGCCACCCATACACGGCACACTGCATGCCACCCGTACACAGCACACTGCATGCCGCCCGTACACACCGCATTGCATGCCACCCATATACAGCGCACTGCATGCCACCCATATACAGCGCACTGCATGCCACCCATACACAGCACACTGCATGCCGCCCATACACAGCACACTGCATGCCGCCCGTACACAGCACACTGCATGCCACCCGCACACACCGCATTGCATGCCACCCATACACAGCACACTGTATGCTGCCCGTACACAGCACACTGCATGCCGCCCGTACACACCGCATTGCATGCCACCCATACACAGCTCACTGCATGCCGCCCGTACACAGCACACTGCATGCCGCCTGTACACGGCACACTGCATGTAGCCCGCACACTGCATGCCACCCGTACACACCGCATTGCATGCCACCCATACACCGCGCACTGCATGCCCCCCGTACACAGCACACTGCATGCCGCCCGTACACACCGCATTGCATGCCACCCATACACAGCGCACTGCACGCCGCCCGTACACAGCACACTGCATGCCACCCCTACACAGCACACTGCATGCCGCCCGTACACAGCACACAGCATGCCGCTCGTACACACCGCATTGCAGGCCACCTATACACAGCACACTGCATGCTGCCCGTACACAGCACACTGCATGCCACCCCTACACAGCACGCAGCATGTCGCCCGTACACGCACACTGCATGCCGCCCGTACACACCGCATTGCATGCCGCCTGTACACTGCATGCCACCCATACACGGCACACTGCATGCCAACCGTACACGGCACACTGCATGCCGCCCGTATACAGCACACTGTATGCCGCCCGTACTCACATCATTGCATGCCACCCATACACAGCACACTGCATGCCGCCCGTACACAGCACACTGCATGCCACCCCTACACAGCACACTGCATGTCGCCCGTACACGGCACATTGCATGCCGCCCGTACACACCACATTGCATGCCACCCCTACACAGCACACTGCATGTCGCCCGTACACATCACACTGCATGCCGCCCATACACACCGCATTGCATGCCGCCCCTACACAGCACACTGCATGCCGCCCGTACACGGCACACTGCATGCCGCCCGTACACAGTACACTGCATGCCGCCCGTACACACCGCATTGCATGCCGCCCGTACACACCGCATTGCATGCCGCCCGTGCACACCGCATTGCATGCCGCCCGTACACACCGCATTGCATGCCACCCATACACAGCACACTGCATGCCGCCCGTACACTGCACACTGCATGCCACCCATACACAGCACACTGCATGCCGCCCCTACACAGCACACTTATACCCTGTTGTTGTACTAGTGCTAATCTTCTCTATTCTCTTTCAGCCACTTCAGCGTTGGAGCTCTGGACAGGCATCCAATAGTGGACCATGCCTGAGCAATGTGTGTCGGCCCAGCTGCCTGTAGCCTCCACCAGGGGGCACATGTGACAGGGTGACAACACAGGAGCACAGTTGGGACACAGGGACAAAGCATTGTCACCCCATAACAGGAAGTGCCTGAACAAGGACCATCATGGCGGGATCGCACAGGATTATATGATTGGAAGCTGCATATTTACAAAGACTGAAGAACACTTTGAGAATGTACATGACCATGATAACCTGTTTGGTGATCGGATTGTGTTGCATGCATAGCAGTGCATTTATCATTCACATGAAATAAACGCACCTGAGCGCCGTCACCTGCAGCATTTACAGTCTCTGAACGGAGCAATGTGCTGCAGTGCTATAATGTAATCTACCTCGATGAATCCCAATCACTGCACCGGTCACCTGCCCTGTACCTGTGACTACCACGTGTGTTCACCTGCAAGAAAGCAATGCTCCTCACAGTGACAGAGAAAATGCTTGGAGACTATCTCCATGTGTGTAGAGAAAGCTGAAACATCACCGACATGTTAGATCAGAAGCTCGACAATTGCCACACCAGCCGCTGACCATTCCAAGCTGGTAGAAGGGTCAGGTACATAGACAACGTTATTTGCTTATTTGCACAGGAGAGAGAGAGAGAGAGAGAGAGAGAGAGAGAGAGAGAGAGAGAGATATGATGGCGAGAGAGAGAGAAATGATGGAGAGGAGAGAGAGAGTGAGAGATGATAGTGAGAGATGACAGAGAGGAGAGAGATCATAGAGAGGGGAGAGAGATATGATAGAGAGGAGAGATGACAGAGAGGGGGATGAGAGATGATAGAGAGAGATGATAGAGAGGAGAGATGACAGAGAGGGGGATGAGAGATGATAGAGAGAGATGATAGAGAGGAGAGATGACAGAGAGGGGGATGAGAGATGATAGAGAGAGATGACAGAGAGGAGAGAAGACAGGGCAGGGAGAGAGGAGAGATGACAGAGAGGGGGATGAGAGATGATAGAGAGAGATGATAGAGAGGAGAGATGACAGAGAGGGGGATGAGAGATGATAGAGAGAGATGATAGAGAGGAGAGATGACAGAGAGGGGGATGAGAGATGATAGAGAGAGATGATAGAGAGGAGAGATGACAGAGAGGGGGATGAGAGATGATAGAGAGAGATGATAGAGAGGAGAGATGACAGAGAGGGGGATGAGAGATGATAGAGAGATGAGAGAGAACATATATTGATGGATAAATATCTCTCCCGAATCCCATCCTGCTTCCATTCCTAGGGCTGACTTTTGGGCGCAGTATTTCAGGTACCCCCCTCGCCCACTCACAGTCCATGCTTTCCCCTGTGTAGGTGGTAACAACAACAGCCATCCAGTGAACCCCGGTGTCACAAAGTGCTCATTATGTCACCTCGATATTTTGTAACTTTACCAATCATTTCCTTTTTTGTGACCGTGCAGGCGTGGGGGGGGGGGATGTGACTGGAGGAAGGATAGATTTGCCATTGATGGCTTTCAGGGAATCTCTGGCCACCCAAAATACAAGGGATGTGAGATTCAACCAATGTACCATTGTGGCATAAACATGTGCGACTGCATGGGCCATGCGCGTGCGCACAAGTATTGCTGATGCCACTCCGTGCTGGTTAAGAAGCTGCTCGAAGCAGCCCAATTCTTCCAATGATGGCCTACTGGAGCCCACATGACTGACCAAACCCCCCAGGGGATGATGTGGTTAGGCTCACAGTGTGCATGGGATTCATTATAAATAAAACTACAAATGTTGCGATCTGCCAACAACTAACAACATTTACCCCAAACAACACGTTACAGAATAACACATGCGCTTCCCAATGGTGCCGGAGCAGAATTGTACTCTGACCTGCGTGTCAAAGACGTCTTCTTCAGGATCCGTCTTCTCGATGGGCAGTGCCTCCCCGGTGGGCTCGTACCCGAACTGGGGCTTCAGCGGGATCTGGTTGGGGTAAGCGGGCTTGGGCACGTCTACCTTGTTTCCCAATTTGAGGTAACAGGGCTGGGGGATTGTCCTTGCGGGAACGTGGAGGATTGGTGCGGCGCTGTGCACCGGTTTGGGCAGTCCCGATTTCATCTTGGAGGCCACCAGGATGGATGGCATCTTTTTCCGCTGACCCTTTGCCCCGACACGACCGTCTCTCTCTCTCCCCCTCTCTCTATCTCTTTATGAGCTCAAGCTAGATTGAGGGGGGTAAAAAAGCCTTTTAATCACCTCCACTGCAGAGCGAGCCGGCGACACACATGAATCCCGCTAACGCACTCGAGTCGCCATCGTCGCAGCGAGCCCTCCGACGCAGAACCCAGGCTCGTCTTCGTCTCCGCTCATCGGGAATCGTCTGGCGGGGAGACACCTGTAAATTCGCCCCCCTAGGGAAGACTTCTGCTCATGATCTCATCGCCTTGGGTGTCTCGGATGCAGCATGTTGTCTCCTGACTCAGCGGAGCGGTGACGGATCAGCCCAACCTGTAGACATTAGCAGAATGTGTCACTGGCAGGTTGTCTGCACAGAGCTCGCTCACACACTGTGTGTGTATGTGTGTGTATGCGTGTGTGTGTGTGGGAATAGCTTTGCATTTTGACAGTACAGCACCATGCAGGATGATGATTGGCCAGATTGGAAAATATATCTGCAGAAGGGGAGGGGCCAGCACAGAGCTGTCACAGCCGTATCACCGTACTAGGAAACCGAAAAAGAAATCAGCCAGTTTTTCGAAACAGCCGAATAACTGCCAAGAATACGAGGGGATGGGACGGGTGATTCAGCCTCCTGATAGGATTCAAGTGAAAACATCGGCGTGTAAAGGGGAAAGGCACGTTTCCTGCAACATGGGCAGCGTCATGTGACTCCTAATCAGCAGCAAAATGACGAGCTGCCCTGCAGCTGATGAGGGACTGCAAGTGCCAGCATGGACGGGCAGCACAGTGGCTTAGTGGTTAGCACTGCAGCGCTGGGGGGGGGGGTCCCCCGTTTTGAAACCCAGATCAGAACACTATCTACATGGAGTTTACACTGGTTTACCTCCCACACTCCAAAGACATGCTGGTGTTAGGGTTCCCACCTGTCTGTGATGCACCTGGATAGTCTGGGTTTTAGGCCAGCTGATGTCACAATGTCAGGCAGACAGGGGCAAACACAAGTGCATGGAGGATGCACAGGACACAGAGGGACACTGGAACTCGGGGAGCAAGCAGGTGTCTGAATCACAAATACGTTTTGAAGAGCACAGGGGTTCCGATTCAGGCAGATGTGTTCTCTACCTCACTCTCTCCTGCTGTCTCTCCTCGCTCTCTCTCCTGGCTGTCTCTCCTCGCTCTCTCCTGGCTGTCTCTCCTCGCTCTCTCTCCTGGGTGTCTGTCCTCACTCTCTACTGGCTTTCTCTCCTCTCTCTCCTGGCTGTCTCTCCTCGCTCTACTGGCCGTCTCTCTCTCCTGGCTGTCTCTCCTTGCTCATCCTCCTGGCTGTCTCTCCTCGCTCTCTCTCCTGGCTGTCTCTCCTCTCTCTCTCCTGGCTGTCTCTCCTCACTCTCTCCTGGCTGCCTCTCCTGGCTCTCTCTCCTGGCTCTCTCCTGGCTCTCTCTCCTGGCTGTCTCTCCTCACTGTCTCCTGGCTGTCTCTCCTCGCTCTCTCTCCTGGCTGTCTCTCCTCGCTCTCTCTCCTGGCTGTCTCTCCTCGCTCTCTCTCCTGGCTGTCTCTCCTCGCTCTATCTCCTGGCTGTCTCTCCTCGCTCTCCTGGCTGTCTCTCCTCTCCCTCTCTCTTCTGGCTGTCACTGCCTTCCCAGTCCATCACCGCATAGACCTGTTCAGATCAGGAGACACTGGGACCCTCCAGAATCCATGGGACCCTCCCCGCACCGTTACATGGATGAACATTCAATTCAGTTTCCATCCCATGGCCAGGACCTTCAGTAGCCGCCAGCCACTCCTACCATGGGGCTGTAACAGTGGCCCGCGCCTCATCTCCGTTACATTACATCCTTAGGGCCGGGTTCACACCCAGCGTTTCGTAGCACTTTTTCTGCCCTAGAAAATGCTCAAAAAAAAAGTTCTGGGACTTCTCTGATTTGCATAAGCTTATCGATTCATTAATATGCATGTCCTGCAGTCACGTCACACACCCAATTAGTGGATTCGAAGCTGTAATTTGCATATTCGGTAGTAAGAACACCACCCAAGACCCCTGTTTCTCCTGGGATGTCCCGTAAGACTGTTGGGGAGGGGGGAGGAGCCAGGGATTGAAGTCAATGGCACTGCAGACACACACACACACAGTGCGATCGCCCGCACCCGGAATGCAGGCACATTAGTGTCTGCATTCCGGTCCAGTGCACTCTGCAAAAATAGTGCTTGCAGTGGAGTGGCTGCGGTGCCCCCCCACCGCTGAACGCAGGGAGCCGGCCAGCTTGCATTCTAGAGGCCGAACGCTCTGGAATGCAGACTTTGTGGTGTGAACCGGCCCTTAGGGCCCAACAATAATTAGATGCCAGACCTGATATTGATGCAATTGGTTTGGAGACACCACTGACCACTGATGCCGGCGTGGTGTAGACCCGGGGTTCATAACCTTTTAATACCAACATGTCATCTGACACAGCAGCACATGGAAGGAGCAATCCAACCCCAATCATGCCAACATATCAACTAGCAATCCCCGGAAGTGGGAAGACACCCAAGCTCAGTGATCTGATTGGTCAGCGATCTGCCCCTTCTATCTGTATTTGATAGCATGTGAAATCCCTATACTGCTAACCATAGGGAGAGCAGCATGTCCTCACTGAGCCCCCAATCACTCCTGTGTGATCTGGACATCAGGTGACATCAATGAATTACAAAAGGAACCCCATTAGTTTCTGTTGGGCCCATTTACACTCATGCGTTGCCCTGCCGAGCGTTGCTTCCTAGTGAGTTCAGACTTCTATGGAAGCAAATAAAACACACGTAACATGCATGCATCTATGTGCATTGAGCCCTGGTTCACACCTGGGCGTTTTAGAGCGCTGATCAACGCGCTGTAAAACGCCCAGCGAGTGAAATCCCATTATTTCCTATGGGCATGGTTCCCACCTGGGCGCATATCAGCGCGTAGGAACGCGCTGAAAAACGCCCTACGCCCAAAGAAGTACAGGAGCTTGTTTGGGGCGTATTTTCCGCGCGTATCCATTAGGATACAGCTGGATAGCCCTCGTAAACGCGCGTTTTGTTGACCGCAAATCGTGGTAAAACCGCGCGGCCCGAAACGCACGCCAAACGCGCCTATTACGAACGCCCAAGTGTGAACCCAGCCTTAGTGCAAGACAACAACCCGCCCCGGTAGTGACCCATGCCTTATGTCGCCTTCATTGGGCAAAAGTAAAATGCATGAAAAATGCACAACAAGAATGCATGAGGATGCAAATGGCGGAGTGAGAATTTGGGAGTTATGTACTCTGCGTGTGAATTTTTGTAACACAAAGAACAACACACGGAGAAGCAAACGAGGATTATGTCGGCATCTCTAACTGGTTTCCATAGTGATTTAAAAATAAATTAATGGGTTCCGGACCTGAGAATTCCTCAGCTTTAAATCAAGGCGAACTAAATAAATATATATATATATAATATACTATATATATATCTCTATCAGAGACTCGCAGCTTGTATCATATCTCTAAAACCAGCATCATTTTCCACCATCATGTATCACCTTACAACCTTTGTAATCAGTGTTATATATCACGCGGGGTTAAAGGTTACGCGAGAGGAAAGCACCGGGTTTTCCATTGCTTTAACCAGGTACAAACATTCCATTGTCAACTGTCTGCTTAGGACATCAGGAATACACAAGAAAAACAATAGCAGTGGTCCAGCACAATGTGGTACCACCAGTAAGGCTGGCCATACACTTAGGGGCCAATTCGTAAATCATTTGCACAGTGTATAGCTGGGGCGAATGCCGTTCATACAGCGCTACTGCCACTAGAGGGAGCTGAAGAGCACAGGACTTCCTATGTTCTTCAGCTCCATCTTGTGGAAGGAATGTGAAATTCTTATGCTCCTCAGCGCCATCTAGTGCGGTAATGCCATGTGAAGGGCATTCGCCCAGCTATACACTGGGAAATTCCTATACTCCTCAGCTCCATCTAGTGGTGAGAATGGGAAAACACCTAAACTTCTCAGCACCGTCTAGTGATGGGAATGAGAAACTCCCATACGTGTCATCTCCATCTAGTTGTGGTAATAGGAAATTCCTTTACTCATCAGCTCCATCTAGTGAGAGGAATGGGAAATGCACCTCGGCTCCATCTATTGGCGGTAATGCCATGTGAACAGCATTCACCCAGCTATACACTGGGAAACTCCTATGCTCCTCAGCTCCATCTAGTGGTGGGAATGGGAAACTCCTATGCTCATCAGCTCCATCTAGTGGTGGGAATGGGAAACTCCTATGCTCCTCAGCTCCATCCAGTGGGAGAAATGGGAAATTCTTATGCTCCTCAGCTCCATCTAATGGCGGTAATGCCACGTGAACGATACTCGCCTAGCTATACAATGGGCGGAAGATTTATAAATGAGCCCCTTATAGATCTCTTCAGGGCATATGCGTCCCCAGGCCCGGCGTCACACGGTGCGGCCACCAGGCTTCACCCAGTGGGACATGATCATGCACTCGCATGGCGTCACTACGCGCACACAAATGCGCACTTAACTGCCAGTGGCCATCTTGGTGATGGACGCCGGCAAAGAGAAGAAAGGAGCCGCCAGGTCCACTCCACTCTCGTTCAGCTGTCGGGCTTCTTGGTCCATGACCAAGTGCCCGACTTTTCAGAGCGGGGGGACACCAAAATGGCTGAGTGAAAGGAATCAAACCGGTTCCTCAATCAGGGTTTGTCCCTGAAGCGACAGCACCTGGTTTGTTCAGGTAGCAGGGGTAATTGTGGGGCCGCATCAACATTATGGTTGCCCTCAAAGGGCCTGTAAGACTACATAAATGTATCTAATCTTTATCATAATTGCCTCTGCATTCCATTATTACTGGTTTTAGTAATAACTTAATACCTAGATCTGAAAGTAGAAGTCTAGGAAATGGCCTGGTGGGCCGGATTCGGCCCCTGGGCCTTGAGTTTGACACGTGTGAGGTAAGGTGTCCCCCGCTGGGTGCTGCGGTTCCTTACAGAGACAGGGTCTCCTTAAAGGAGAACTATGAGGTGAGTGATTTCCACTCACCTCATAGTTCTAGCTGACCTGTGACAATGAGACTGTCACAGGTCGGCTCAGTAGATCGGGAGGTGAGCGAACACATACCGGCGTTCGCTCACCTCTCGATCCTGTCTGATCTCTGCCGTGACAGGGGAGGGGCTGGATTCCCCCCTCCCCGCTCCGCCAGCGCTGACTGGTGGAACGGACGGGGGAGGGGGCGGGTACAGCTGGC